AGTCAAAACAGCAACACTAGGGTACAGTGTAAAACAGATCAACCATCATATTTGATGTGTAATGTTTAATGGGAGAACTTTATATTTTGTTTTCCCCTCTCATTTGACAGGGTTAAGAGTTTAGCCTACCAATTCATGTAGTTCTCTATTATACCTGTTTTTTGATCTATTTCTCCAGAACACTCCTTATCGAGGAAGGGGTTTATAAATCTTTATAGTGACCACTTATTCATGTTGAAAAGAGTGGACAGCCTAGTTCTTCCTTATCAGTCCTAATTTCCACTTCAGAGAGACCATAATACTCTCCAAAAGGATAACTTGGCACTGGCAGAAAGTTTGCCGAGGAGGAAGATTTGAGAGCATTGGGATGGTTTTTTTTTCTTTCTGGGGAAATGAGTATAGTGTGATAAAGGCCACAACATTAAAATGATGGATACATTATTTTTCCCCTACTGTTAAGGTATTTGCAAGAATTATTGAAAGGAAGTTATCCTACCCTTTTCACCCAATTTCCAGTAGTTCAAAAATAATCTAGTGCTTTGCAATGGGTCTGTGTATTCTTGTTGACAACACGCTGCCCTCCCCCAATCAGCTGCCTTAAGGCCAGAGCAGTTACAATTGCATAGCTGAGGTGTTTGGGGTGAATCTGACCTAAATTCTCATATTTTCCCCAATAACCAGAGATCCTTCCCCCCACCTTTTTTTTTGCCCCCAACTCCATCTGTCCCCTTCTGCCAGTGCACAAATGGAGCGTACAACTGAAATGTTTTTTCACTTGGTGCTCAGTCATTCTGCACAGAAATTATATTGAACAAGACTTTGCCATGACCAAGGAAAGCAGGATGGCAAAATTCTCTCCCTTCGTGGTCTCTTTGGGTTTTTGTGATTTTTCTCCTTTCGAAATAGCACAGTTAGCAGTTGACAGTTGTTTTTCCAATATATATTGTCTGTCAAGGTTTTCCTTCTTCATTCACAACTACCTCTGGATACGTTTTGAGTTTCATTCTCTTAAAACATAGATTGCTGCTGTTTTGTTGCTGCTGTACTGATTACAAAGTTTTATTTCAACAGGTTCTGTCTGGTTTTTCTCTGGAACTGACATTTTACACTATATTGTGCTATTAAAAAGGGATATAAAATCTCTTATTTGTCAGACTGATGAATGATTGGGGAGAGGGAGTTTCTGTGAAAGTGGGCACTATTTTAAGTCAGCTATAAATACTAAACTCTACTGTGGAAACCCCAAATGACTAATAACATTTGTTTCTATCAGGGATATGTGTGTCTGTGTGTGTTTTCGTAGATTTTCACAGGTGTAGGTATGCTGGTCTTGTTGTATTCGGGTCTTTTCCTATGTAAGATTGAGATTGTCTTGGCAACATTTCAGCGAGGTCTCACTCGCCATCTTCAGGCTGGGTTTTGGGCTTCATGCCGCCAGCCTGAAGATGGCAAGTGGGACCTCGTCGAAACGTCGCCAAGATACTCTTCAATCTTACACGGGAAAAGACCCGAATACGCCAAGACTTGCATGGATGGATAGATGGATGGATAGATAGATTGGGGGGGGGGGGAGAGCACTGTATATTAGCTATACTAAGAATTTCAAGACCTCATGGTAAGCACTCCCTAGTTAACAATTTAGCAGAAAGCAAACTGGTCAGAATGCTTCTCACCAACTCATTTTATATCATTCTAGCTTAGCTGTTCTTTATTCTCTGAAAAGCGAAAACTTACAAATCAAGCATTGAACTACAGTTACCCTTTGTTACTTTACCTTAGAATGCTGATATGGTATCAACAAACATTTCTAGAAATATTTTTGCATTTTTAAAAATGTGAGGTGCTTGCAGAAGGTATCAAAGGAGACATTTACACACACACTGTGCTCGTTGAAACTATATAGCCTACCCTACTGCCCATTCGCATTCTTTTGCTGCATCTATTTCATAAAACACACTCTTAAAAGGGAACACAATTGAGCTGGTTCATTGAATATCCAATATATTATGTAGGCAGTAACTGTTCTTCATTCAGTAAAAGACACAAACATTTTAAATAATGATTGCAATAATTCCTGAACTGTTCACTAAATTAAAATCATCAATCGGTCTTTAGCATCTGCCCAATGGATTGACATCTGTTCATCTTCCAAGATTATTACCACTCTGCCTTTTTACAAATATGCAATAGTGATTCGTTTTGAAACACTCAACTTTCTAGCATGAATAGCATAATTGCACAACACCTGAACAATTAGTTTCAAATTTAAGGATTATTTTAGGCAATGATTAATAAAACCACAGGAATTTGTATTAATATTGATCCATCTAGCCCAATGTTGCCAAAGGATGACTGGAAATAAGATTTCAGCCCATTTTTCATTTGGATATGCCAAACACTGAAACCGGAGTTGTTGGGTTTTTTGTATGCATTACATGTCATGTACCCAGAGGCAAAAGATTTAACTTTGTTTGCCTGCAAATAAAGCAAACTTTGTTTATTAAATAGGCACATTTTTTTAGTCTTTATCAGGGCAATAGCAGAGTGAATTTTTCCTTCTCAAAAGGTTAAAGGAAATGTCCTTTCTGTAATGCTTGATAATTTTAATTATCAATAGTGTAGCTCTTTAAAGTGATATATGGCTTTGTTAAGTTGCAATGCAAAAGGATAGTATGATCAGTAGCTTAATAGTATATAAATTTATTACTTGAATAAAACAAGTGATGTTTTAAACTTCCTTTCATAGCAGTAGACCAAAAATAATTAAACATGAACTCATAAGGACCTCATAAGACACAAAGAGGATTCTTCTTAAACTTGCCACATCTGCCCTTGCTCCATTTTTAATGCAGCAGGCAATATTTTCCTTATAACATAAAGGTAAAGGTTCTCCTCGCACATATGTGCTAGTCGTTCCCGACTCTAGGGGGCGGTGCTCATCTCCATTTTAAAGCTGAAGAGTCAGTGCTGTTGGAAGATGTCTCTGTGATCATGTGGCCAGCATAACTAAACGCCAAAGGCGCATGGAACACTGTTACCTTCCCACCAAGGTGGTCCCTATTTTTCTACTTGTATTTTTACATGCTTTCGGACTGCTAGGTTGGCAGAAGCGGGGACAAGTAACAGGAGCTCTCTCTGTTACGTGGTGCTAGGGATTTGAACCACCAAACTGCCAACCATTCTGATCGACAAGCTCAGCATCTTAGCCACTGAGCCACCACGTCCCCTCATACTGTATGCTTAAACCTAAATAACATACTGTATGCTTAAACCTAAATGACATTTAGCATATATTTAAATGTTATACTTAGATGGCATTCTTTTTCCTCTTTTCTTCCTTATCATGTTGGGTGTCGGGGGAAAATACAAAATTCTGGTTCTTGCACTTATGGCGACTTCAACCATTATTTGATGCTATTGTGTGTATTTGATGTCCTCCTGGGTCTGCCTCTTTGGCCTGCTCTTTTTATAGCAATAGCAGTTAGACTTATATACCGCTTCATAGGGCTTTCAGCCCTCTCTAAGCGGTTTACAGAATCAGCATATCGCCCCCACAGTCTGGGTCCTCATTTCACCCACCTCGGAAGGATGGAAGGCTGAGTCAACCTTGAGCCAGTGAGATTAGAACCGCTGAACTGCAGATAACAGTCAGCTGAACTGGCCTGCAGTACTGCACCCTAACCACTGTGCCACCTCGGCTCTTTTTGTACATGCCTTGCATGATATAGAATCTCAAGACATTTGGTGGTATAACTGGAATTAAAGTTCTAAATATTGAACCAAGGGCTAGTCAGTCTTGCCATTTTCTGAAGCAGTTCCCCCCCTCCCACCAAATGCTTTTGCTTCAAACATGGGTTTTCTGGGAGGGGAAAAATCTATTTGTTTATTCATTCCAATAACCACACACTCCACAAGTATTTGGGCCACAATATTTAATTAAAGAGCTTTACAATCCCTGCTTTCCACTGTGTTTAGAATTTTTAGATCTATCACCAGAAAAACAGCATTAAAAAATTGAAATTGCCAAACCTGCCTGAATATATTCAATTCCTACTGTGTGATGAAAGTTCATGAGCAGCAGTCTTGGAAATGGAGATATTGGGAAGGCTGCATTTGTATGTAAGTTTCAATAGTTGCATAGAGAAGTACAGCTGATGCAGTTTATTATGACATTATAGTATATTAACATAAAATAGTCCGACTTTATTAGGTCGGGTGTCATGGCTTTTATATCCTAAACAAAAAAAAAGATCTACATTTTAAAGAATTTAGTGGATACCTAACTCCTAATAATTGTAAGAATAATCAAATTTAAGGTACTTCTTTTAAGAGATGTAGCCTATATTCAACAGAGACCCCTTCCCAATAAATAGCACCTGAATCCCCAGATGTTCTTTTTGTTTCTGAATTCCTGTTATCAAATAATGGATCACTAATACAGCCAATTCTAGAATTTTAATTGTTGCATCCACTGGATGTTTACCAAAAAAGCACTTTTTGTTTTCCAAAAACAATTTGCCTCTCAAATGCTGCTCTGGAGAGACCTCAACTGTCTAGATAGAACAGGCTTGTTTGGGCAAAAACATCCTGACCTGATGCTCCTGGCGCTAGCTGATCTCAACCAATTATATATCTAAATACAAATAGTGTACTGCATTTGAGTTATTTTTTTAGAAAGATCAAAACAGGAACTTTCATTTTGCCCAGCAGAAAATTAACTTCATCCAAAGGACAAATGAAAGTAGCAATCTAAGACTCAGAATGCTTCCAGATGAAGGTTACTCTTAAATCTATTCTTCAGTTGCTGTAGGGATGGAAATACATAATTAATCCGTATTTGGGAAATTTGTTTCTATTTTGAGACAGACAACTAGCAGTGTGGAAGTAAATGCAGTACATAAAGGAAAGAACAAGCATTCAGTACATTTAGGAACTAAATTCATGACTGGATGTAAATCATGACATTGCAGTTTTTTTGCCTGCAGACCCATAACAAAGCAAGGAGTTAATAGCAATGAGATATAAACCAAAGGCATACAGATGGGGACAAAATAAAACAAACTACAGGACACAGTACATATTGATTTCATTGGAAGATGATGCAGGGAATGGCAGAAGAATGCTTTTCTTCATGGTGGCATCAAACCACCATTAATTCAGCCCATGCAGCTGCACCACCAGTTTATTAATCGTGTGTTTAGGAAGAGAAGCGATGGTTGCAATGTGCATTGTCGTGTGCATTCAGTCGTCATGGAAAAAATAACTTTATTTCCAGAACCATAATCGTCACATTTTTCCCATTGCATTAGGAATACATTGTCAACCTCAAAAGGCATCCGATGTATGCAATGTAAGTTGCATCCCAATGTTCTTAAAATGTGTGGAACACCTCCAACTTTGCTAAAAATCAAAACTTTTTTTGGGGGGAGGGGGGGTACATTAAGACACTTTCTCAAAGTTACCAGTACAGCCTTCTACATTAAGTGCATAATCTGTGTCCATTAGCCAAGTTCAGCAAGCAATGAGTAGCACAAATTTTTCAGCAAAGCAGCAATAACATTGCTGCACCAAAATGTCCATCACAGATATATCAATGGTAACAAGCTGTATTCACAAAGACAGGCATAACAGGTCATAGTACTGTAAAAGCTTGATGTTTTGCCACAGGTACTCCTAGTTGGGTTCAGTTTTATTTACAAAACAGAGATGATTTCCCAAATACCAAATAACACTGTCCCTGTTGAGCTCAAACAGGTCACCAAAGAAAATAGTTCTCATAACGATGGTCCTTTCTGATAGACATGCTAAGCATCTATACAAACTTCCTAGCTAAACTGCATCCTCCCAGCATGTAGCACACACAATAATTCCAAAGCTGATGTCATGTAACCGTTATCCCTATTTCAAGAAGTATACCATCACTCCTCAAGCACCAAGTTATGCATTTGGCGATTTTATTCACTTTGCTCGCATCTGTTCAGTAGTATGTTACAGGAATCCAACAGCTTTAAATAATACACCCTTTTACATTCTTAGGCAGAGAAGGCAGCAAGCAATGTGCTGGGATATCACAGCAGCTGCATTCTGATGCTCTTTGTTCACAAAAGGAAATGGAGGTTCACTGCTTTGCTTTTTTTTTTAAAATGAAGCAGAGCTTTTGAGGATTGATGCCCGTAATGCAAGAGCTATTCAGTGATATTTTACTCAAAATTTCATAAACTCCTGCATCTCATCATCCACATAAAATGCAAATTAGGAGATGGTTGATACGAAGAATGATACCACATAGCAAGCTGTCCTAGTTCCAAACACAATTCTCCAACCCCCCCTGGGCTACTCTTTGTACCAGGTGCTCAGTGCCAATCTCCTCGACACGGCTGGCATCCATCACACCTTCTGTTACTGGAAGTCACGTCAAGAGGCTGTAGTACTGAAGTGTAAAGAAAGGCAGCAACGTTAATGGCATTCAAGTTGGCACACATGCCAGGTAGAAGAGGTCATCCATCTACCCTCTGTGATCAGTCCGAGATGAGTACCATCAAGCTTTCACATCCATAAATGAATTACGATAGGGCTGGTATCCTCCCCAACCTCGCATCATCTGTAATACACAGCACACATTTAATATTGCCTTCAGACATTTAGCAAGAGCATCTTTTCAAAGAATGGACATCTTCCACAGCTTATTTTGACAGAGTAACCTGGCAGTTTTCATTACAATTAAGAGTACAGGTAGGCCTCAACTTTCAGCAGTTCATTTAATGATCGTTCAAAGTTACAACGGCACTGAAAAAAATGACTTATGACCATTTTTCACACAATCTTTGCAGCACCCCCATGGTCATGTGATCTACATTTGGATGATTGTCAACTGACTCACATTTATGACGGCTGCAGTGTCCTGGAGTCATGTGATCCTTTTACGACCTTCCGACAAGCAAAGTCAAGCAATGGGGAAACCGGATTCACTTAACAACCATGTTACTAATTTAAGAACTGCAGTGATTCACTTAACAACTATAGGAAGAAAGGTCATAAAATGGAGCAAACTCAACAATAATCTCACTTAACAATATAAATTTTGGGCCCAATTGTGGTCGTAAGTTGAGGACACCTGTGTTGCTTCCCAAACAAAGCTGCCTGAATGGATATCCTCCAGTAAAGTTTTACTGCTCCCCCTGCTGTGCCAATACAGCATCGTTTTGGAAGCCACTTCAGAAAGCAAAAATGGAGACAATGATCTTTGTGAATAGAAAGGAGAAAAACCAGCTCCCACGCACTGGCTGTATGAAACAGCTAGGCATAAGCATGTTTATGCTTCTGTGACAAATTCACTTCCTCTTTTATGCAGCCATGAAAATGGACAGCCAGGGATCATTTCTTTCAAAATTTGTCATTTCAACCCTTAACAAATATAGCAGAAATACTGGTTACACAGATAGTAATATAAAAATAACTCTCTACACATCTCTTAATTTTCTAGTGTGGTCCATATAAACATTCTATTTGTGATAGTCTTCAGTCAAATGTCCTAATAATATTTGGATTTTTTAATTATGCTCACATCTTTTTGTAATCTCGGTAATCAAGCAAGAGCTGCAATTTCCACTTTCTAATGTTGTCTGTGAGACTTCTCTTCATCCTTCCCTCATTGTGACTTATATCCCACACATCCCTAAAAGGGCCAGACAACCACAACAAAAATGTATTTTTCTTGAGAGTTACCTCCCTAGTATGTTTGTAAAAGGCTGGATCTTAAAAAACATAAGGCACTTTTGGGTAGACCCCAAAATTGCTGCATTACATTAGAATGAACAATTTATCCCAGAGATGAACACTGCTGTTAGCTTAGCTCTTTTTTATGGGGAAAAATAACAATAATAATAAGAAAAATAAAATGTATAGAAAAGGGCTCCAGCTAACTCAAATGACGTTCCTAGAGGCAGTATATCTAAAATATGCAGCTCAAGAAAAAAAGAATAGTCTCAAACTACAGGTAGTATGCAACTTACTACCACAATTGAGACTGGAACTTGTCATTGTGATCTAAAGTTGCTTTCTTGCTGGAAATTCACAAAAAAGATAGCAGTCGTGACCGCAGGATGCTGCAACTGTAAATGCAAGCCAGATGTCAAGTACCCAAATTGTGATCAAATGACCATGAGGGTAGAGCAATGGTCATATGTACAAATACAGGTCATTTTCTGAGGCTGTCATAACTTTCAATATCATTAAACAAATAGTCTTAAATGAAGGACTGCCTGTATAAATTGGAATGAAATTATTTTATTTTCTCTCTTTCTTGAACAGACAAAAATATTCAGAGTTCACTGCTCACAATTCATGGTGTCCTGACACAACATAATTCAGGGATTGTTTTGAGAACATGTTGTGAGTGCGCTTGAAAAATGACTTGAGGGATTTGCCTATTCAAAACATGTGTGCCAAAACTGTTAGGAATATAATCTAACAGTTGAGTTGGCAATACATAAATCATGTAGCAATGCTGTACCTGTTTCTTTAAATCATGCTGTAAATGTGATTGGTTGCTGTTTCCTCAATCGGCCATAAGATGGAGCCAGAATCACTGTTAGATGCTGATCTGATCTGAGTGTTTGGAAGCTGGCTGTTAGAAGTGCTGTATAGTGATCAGCGTAAGCTATTGTAAGTTTTGCAACTGCTAGCAAACTTTGTGTACCAGACTGTTTGTATGATTATGGACTATGTTATTTGGATTATCCCTTAACTGAAAGACGTTGATGACTGACTGTCTTATCCGTGTATGACTTGGACTGTTTGATGGACTCTGATACCTCTATTTCCATGAAAGCAAAGCCTATTTAAACTGCAGTGTCTCTGTATGCTGGTTTGTGTGTTCTCCAACACCACTCTCACACCGCTTCTCTGAACGCACTCGTTCTCCTAACGGGGAGCTTACCTAACAAAAACAATGTAATCATTGGCAAATCACCAGAATATTGTCACTCCTTCTAGCCATCAATACCTACTTGATACACTCACTTTTTGGAAGAGTACCCTTCACAACAAAGTATTAGACTATAATTCTCACTATTTTGTTTTCTAAGGAAGTAAAGGCGGTATGTGGGCTATTATTAAAAAGAATAATAGTACATTATTTTGAAGTAAGACATTTTCTCTTTTGTTAATGATTTTTAAGTGTAACAGGTCAAGCAGTGCACCGTGAGTTCAAAAAGGAGGTGCTTCTGGTTATACGGCACCTCTAGGTACCATATTGAGTCAAACTGAATCACAGATAATTTGAATACGATGGGCAACTGCTTCCTTCCCTCCCTCTTTTTCAAGTGATAGTTTCATGGGCAAATCACATCTGAATACGCAACTGTCCATAAATATCCTGAAATATGGCTTTGCAATAGGTATGTAATGTGTAAAATATACCCCACATAAGCTTACTTTAGTGTCCTCTGGCTCCACTAGGAGTTCTTGCTCAGCCTCATGTAGCTCCTCCGCAGGATCATAACTGTACATTGGCAACAAATGGTGGCGTAGTCGATCATATCTAGGAGGCAGATTTGTAAGAGTATAACCTAAAATTATCCTCAAGCAATTAAAAGCTGCTACATTTTTTTTCTCATGGCCCTGGCACAGGCTCAGACAAGATAGAGCTACATCATAAAGCATTGTCAGGGATGAACAACTATCATAATTTCAGTATAATATACATTTTGAAATTTTCAGTAGTTTAGTGTTCAAATGTGCTAGATCAATGTTTCTATTAGTCTCATGCACTAATAACTAATTCCAAGTAACTATGATCCAAATTTCAGTCACAACACTGGTTTATATTTTGATAATATACCAGAAGTTCCAATCATCAGTTGCCAGTCTTCAGCAACCTGATATTCTTCAGATGTTCTGAAAAACAAAATTCCAGAATTCCTAGGCATAATTCTCATTTGCCAAGTGAGCTGGGAATTCAGGAAATTATAGGTCCAATACATTAAGCAGCACAAGGTTAGATGCACTATAAGTAAGCTTTGCATCAAATATGTGTCTCTATTTGTCAGAGGAAAACTTTGGCAGTTTTACCCATACTCCAAAGTAACTAATATAGTAATAATATACACAGATAATTTACCAAATAAAAGAACAGTTCATACCATTATTGACAAACCACTCTGCACATTAAATGTTTATTTTGCACCCATCTAAAATTATATCACACTGACATTATGTTGATATTTATCCGGAACATATAAATTAAACTATAGTGAAATGTTAATATAGGAATTATAATGAACTAACCATAGAGTATTGGATGGTTCTTCTAATTACAACCCATCTACCTTAAACCCATGATTAATGAAATAAAGTGTCAACTCTGTGTTGACATTCCATGCAGAGCTGCGGTGGAGCCAGATCTCAGATTACAGTAGCTGGGTTAAAATGAATGAAGCTATTGGTTAACGTGATTTATGACAGGCTGAAGGGAGGACAGAAACACGGGCAAAGTTCAAAAGCAGATAAAGAAAGCAAAAAAGATGGCTGCAAATAAGAAATGCCTAATGAAGAATGCCTAATGAAGCTGTTAATAAATTACTGCTTTTTGTATTACAATATTGGGTCGCTTATTATGAAGTAGGCATCATTAGGGTACTTTACAGACAGCCATCTTTTGCTTTTAAATATCGGGGGTGCCAAGGGGGAACTCAGAAGACCATGACAAAAGGCCAGCTATCTGAACAGAGCTGGAGAGCAGCCATCAGACATCAAAGCCGAGATTAGCGAAGCAAGAGGAGATAAGTAATCAACCCCTAAAAACAGCTAAAGCTGAGCCCCCACCCCACCCCTTTGCCCAGAAAAAGGGAAAGGTCCTAAGCAAGCTAGGAAGAGTGGAGGGGATGCTGGGCTGGAATCAAGCCAGGCCCCAAAAATCCCAAATGGAGCCCCTGGGAAGTTCCATAGAGCAACGGAGGGAGGAATTTGACTGGGTCACCCTCCGTGAAGAAAGGCCATTATGCATGAGAGAGGGGAGGAGCAGTGGATCCTCTTGAGGTGACGAGAAGCACATGGGAACATAGCCCCACTTCTCCACCCATTAGAAGGAAGATGAAGCCAGTGCCTCTCCCACGTAGCAGGCAGGCTGCCCAGGGCAGACAATCTCCACCCTCCCTCCGAACTAGAACTGAGGAAGGGCACTGCTGACTGGACCGCCCCAATTCAGAGGAAAGTTTGATGGGAACTCAGGCCAGTTAGCCCTATTCCTTGACTCAGCTGAGGTCTACCTGGAATGCTATAGACACCTCTACTGATCCCCCAGAGCCATAGTGAATACTATAGCAGAGGGACTAGAGGGAGAAGCAAGGGAATGGCTATCAGCCCTCCACAAGAGGAGAGCCTCCCAACTGCAAGACATAGATGACTTCCTACGACTGCTAGAGGCCAGATTTAAAGAGAAAAAAGACGGAACTATGAGACTATGTGAGGACTTTCGAGGGATAAATGCCGTGTGCATACACAATCTATACCCATCTCCCCCTCATGAAAGATATGCTATCTCACTTGGCCAAGGGAAAAGTCTTCATCAAATTAGACCTCAGAGAGGCATACTATCAAATACGGATTAGGGAAGGAGATGAGTGGAAAACAGCGTTCAACTGCCCTCTAGGGAGCTTCCAATTCAAAGTGATGCCTTTTGGACTACAGGGAGCCCCTGCAGTGTTCGTGCAGTTAATTTATTGAGGTGCTGCATGAGCACTTCTACAAGGGGGTCCTCGTCTACCTGAATGACATCCTCATCTACACTGAGACCATGAATGACCACATACCCCTGGTCCGCAAAGTACTGAAAAAACTTCTGGTAGTCAAGCTATCAAAATGTGAATTCCGTGAGCGGCTAGACTACCTAGGCTACCGAGTGTCAAATGAGGGAATAGAGATGGACCCAGCCAAAGTGCAAGCCATCCTAAGCTGGCAACCCCCTTGCACCTGCAGACAGCTACAAAGCTTCCTAGGGTTCGCGAACTTCTATAGGCAATTCATCCCCTCCTTTGTGAAGATTGCCAAACCCCTGACAGACCTCCTGAAGACAGGGAGCCCAGGAACAAAACCTCACCGGGGACAACATCTACAGTGGGGCCTAAGCTGCCAAAAGGCATTTGAGACACTAAAAGAAATGTTTGCAAAGGAACCAGTGCTGAAGCATCCTGACTCGGAGCAACCCTTTGTGATCCAAGCAGATGCCAGTGATATGGCAGTGGGAGCGGTGCTTCTCCAAAGAAACAACCAAGGAAACCCACAACCCTGTGCCTACACCTCCGGCAAGCTCACAGACAGACGATGGGCCGCATGGGAAAAGGAGGCTTTCACAGTGAGATGGGCACTGCTAATCTGGAGACACCTGTTGGAAGGGGGCCAGAAACCGTTCGAAGTCTGGACTGACCATAAGAAACTATCACTCAAACAAGTCCGATGGACTCAATATTTTAACCACTTCGACTTCATACTAAAACACATTCCAGGGCAGAGGAACTTCTAGCTGACGCCCTCTCCCGCATGCCCCAGTACAAATGTGAATGGGAGCAGGTGGTGGATGCCATCATTCCCTTTACCAAATAGCTGCCCAAGTGACCACCAGACGACAACACCGTGACCAGCACAACCAACCAGCAGGCAACCTAACCATGAGACTCAAAACTGAATTTCTAGCAGACCCTTGGTTCCAAAACAACCAACACATCTTGACAAAAAGAGATGACCTTGCATGGAAGGGGATGAAATTCTAGGTCCCGGAATCCCTACACACCCTAATTCTTCAGAGGAGCCACGATGCCAAACCGGCAGGCCACTTTGGATTCCTAAAGATGTTACACTTAGCCCAGAGGCAGTTCTGGTGGCCCAAAATAAAGAAAGATGTGGACAGTTACGTGAAAAGTTGCACCATCTGCGCCACAATGAAGAGGCGACCAGGAAAACTCCCTGGATTGCTGCAGCCAGTAGCAGAGCCAACGAGGCCGTGGGAGATCACAACGGACTTTATAGTAGAGTTGCCAAAAAGTGGGGGAAACGCGGTGATTTCGACTGTAATAGACCTGCTCTCCATTCAGGCGCACTTCATAACCTGCAGTGGACTACCCTCAACTCACAAGGTGACCAAACTGTTCCTGAAGCACATCTACCTGCATGGAGTACCTCGAAGAATTATCTCAGACAGAGGGGTCCAGTTCACGGCTAAATTCTGGAGGGAGTTCCTGCGGTCCATTGGGTCATCCCAGGGCCTTAGCTCGGCTTTTCACCCAAGCACCAATGGGGGGGGGCAGAGAGACTGAATGCTATGGTAGAGCAGTACCTGAGATGCTACGTGAACTATCAGCAGTCCAATTGAGCAGACCTTCGGATCATTGCTGAGGTTGCGTACAATAATGCTGTTCACAGCAGCACAGGACTAACACCATTCAAAGTAGTGAATGGCATGGACTTTGTCCCAATGCCTGAGTATCAAAGGGATCCCCCTTCCTCAGTCAGCTTGACTGACTGGATGTCAATGCTAAAAGCAACCTGGGAGAATGTGAAAAAAGCACTAGCTAGAGCAGCACAAACA